TATACTCTGGAAATATAGTAGGTATGTATCAGAAGCTTTTTTTAAGCAACTTTTGATAAATTTCTTTTAAAGATTCTATAGAATTTTGGATGTTTGATTTTTTAATCACCACTTAAAGATTCTATAAATAGAAAGTTGCCTCCAAATTCCAATTAATAAAGTCGCTCAATAATCATAAATAAATTTCGAATTGACCACAATACTTAACCCAGTTTTGATTGTTTAATAAGCATGCCTGGCAAAAAATTAATTGGTTTCAATTGTTGTTTTAGACAATAAGAAAAAAGTATCAGCAAGATTATGTAAAACAAAGTTTTCCACTTGTTTGATTTTTGCTTGAGCTAATTACGCAAGTCCTAGATGTACTGATGTTGTTTTTAGTTACAATTTTTTTTGTTTGACGCTTACTAAATGTAGTTACTGCTTTCCTTGCATTTTCTGTTTTTTATGTGTTTCTGCTTTCTTATCCTAAGTAATTCTTACTTCAAAGTATTTGCAGCTTTTAAAATTATTCATTGAAGAAATTTCTCGACTCATTAATGTGGAGATCAGACACAAGGGCAAGTCTTCATTTGGGATCTTACCAATGAAATAGATCATCAAGACCCAAACATTTCGGAAAGTTACAGACAATTTTACATTATAATAAATACTCTGCAAGTATGATGTATTACTGTACAATAACGATACAAATACAACACAATGACCCAAACACAATCAAAATAGAATCATAGTCTGTGCCACTTGCTTTTCATTCAAACACAATATACCCCAAAAACAAAATAATTTCAATGAAAGAGTCCTTACATTAAAAACATAATATCTCAAAAACAGTGCAGATGAGACCGGTGTGAAATTGGCCTCCCAAGATAGCCTCCAAAACTTCCGGAAACTGCCGAACGGCCAGTGGCGTCGGATATATAAGAAAATATCATAACCTAAAATCTGTTCGTACTTACAGATTCATATTTTCAGGACAACGATTTGCTATTTTTTCATCCTAACACCAGATCCCGATAAACCGTCAAAAGGTGTCAAAATAGGGGTGGAGATTTCAAAAAAATTATGTCTCAAAATCTGCTCGTGCTGACAGATTCACATTTTCAAGACAAACTATAACAAGCATTTGCTGTTTTTTCACCCTTATACCATATCTTGATAGGCCGTCAGAAGGTGTCAAAATAGGGGTGAAAATGTCAAAAAAATTATATCTCAAAATCTGCTCGTGCTGACAGATTTATATTTTCAGGACAAATTATGAGAAGCATTTGCTATTTTTTCGCCCTAACAGCAAATCCCGATAGGCCGTCAAAGGGTGTCAAAATTGGGATGAAGATATCAAAAAAATCATCTCAAAATCTGCACGTGCGGACAAATTCATATTTTCGGGACAAATTATGATAAGCATTTGCTATTTTTTCACCTTAACACAATATCTCGATAGACCGTCAGAGGGTGTCAAAATAGGGGTGAAGTTGTCAAAAAAATTATGTCTCAAAATCTGCTCGTGCTGACAGGTTCATATTTTCAGGATAAATTATCAAAAGCATTTGCTATTTTTTCACTCTTACACCATACCTCGATAGGCCGTCAAAAGGTGTCAAAATAGGGGAGAAGATATCAAAAAAATTATATCTCAAAATCTGCTCGTGCTGACAGATTCATATTTTCAGGATAAACTATGAGAAGCATTTGCTATTTTTTCACCCTAACACAATATCTCGACAGGCTGTCAGAAGGTGTCAAAATAGGGGGGGAAATATCAAAAAAATCATATCTCAAAATCTGCTCGTGCTGACATATTCATATTTTCAGGATAAATTATCAAAAGCATTTGCTATTTTTTCACCCCTACACCTAGGCCGTCAGAGGGTGTCAAAATAGGAGTGAACATATCAAAAAAATTATATCTCAAAATCTGCTCGTGCTGACAGGTTCATATTTCCAGGATAAATTATCAAAAGCATTTGCTATTTTTTCACCCTTACACCATACCTCGATAGGCCGTCAAAAGGTGTCAAAATAGGGGAGAAGATATCAAAAAAAATATATCTCAAAATCAGCTCGTGCTGACAGATTCATATTTTCAGGATAAATTATGACAAGCATTTGCTATTTTTTCACTTTAACACATTATCTCGATAGGCCGTCAGAGGGTGTCAAAATAGGGGTAAACATATCAAAAAAATTATATATCAAAATCTGCTCGTGCTGACAGGTTCATATTTTCAGGATAAATTATCAAAAGCATTTGCTATTTTTTCACCCTTACACCATATCTCGATAGGCCGTCAGAAGGTGTCAAAATGGGGGTGCAGATATCAAAAAAATTATATCTTAAAATGTGCTCATGCTGACAGATTCATATTTTCAGGATAAATTATGACAAGCATTTACTATTTTTTCACCCTAACACCATATCCCGATAGGCTGTCAGAAGGTATCAAAATAAAGGTGAAGATATCAAAAACATTATATCTCAAAATCTGCTCGTGCTGACAGGTTCATATTTTCAAGATAAATTATGACAAGCATTTGCTATTTTTTCACCCCAACACCATCTCGATAGGCCGTCATCACGTGTCAAAATGGGGGTGGAAATATCAAAAAAATCTATTGAGATATAATTTTTTTGATATCTTCACCCCTATTTTGACACCCTCTGACTGCCTATCGAGATATGGTGTTGAAGTGAAAAAATAGCAAATGCTTGTCATAATTTATCCTGAAAATATGAATTTGTCAGCACGAGCAGATTTTGAGATATGTTTTTTTTTATATCTTCTCCCCTATTTTGACACCTTCTGACGGCTTATCGAGGTATGGTGTAAGGGTGAAAAAATAGCAAATGCTTTTGATAATTTATCCTGGAAATATGAACCTGTCAGCATGAGCAGATTTTGAGATATAATTTTTTTGATATCTTCACCCCTATTTTGACATCCTCTGACGGCCTATCGAGATATGGTGTTGAAGTGAAAAAATAGCAAATGCTTGTCATAATTTATCCTGAAAATATGAATTTGTCAGCATGAGCAGATTTTGAGATATGTTTTTTTTTATATCTTCTCCCCTATTTTGACACCTTTTGACGGCCTATCGAGGTATCGTGTAAGGGTAAAAAAATAGCAAATGCTTTTAATAATTTGTCCAGAGAATATGAACCTGTCAGCACGAGCAGATTTTGAGATATAATTTTTTTGATGTTTCCACCCCTATTTTGACACCTTCTGACGGCCTATCGAGATATGGTGTTGGAGTGAAAAAATAGCAAATGCTTGTCATAATTTATCCTGAAAATATGAATCTGTCAGCACGAGCAGATTTTGAGATATGATTTTTTTGATACTTCCACCCCTATTTTGACACCTTCTGACGGCCTATCGAAATATGGTGTTAGGGCGGAAACATAGCAAATGCTTGTCATAATTTATCCTGAAAATATGAATTTGTCAGCACGAGCAGATTTTGAGATATGTTTTTTTAAATATCTTCTCCCCTATTTTGACACCTTTTGACGGCCTATCGAGGTATGGTGTAAGGGTAAAAAAATAGCAAATGCTTTTAATAATTTGTCCAGAGAATATGAACCTGTCAGCACGAGCAGATTTTGAGATATAATTTTTTTGATATCTTCACCCCTATTTTGACATCCTCTGACGGCCTATCGAGATATGGTGTTAAAGTGAAAAAATAGCAAATGCTTGTCATAATTTATCCTGAAAATATGAATCTTCAGCACGAGCAGATTTTGAGATATGATTTTTTTGATATTTCCACCCCTATTTTGATACCTTCTGACGGGCTATCGAGATATGGTGTTAGGGTGAAAACATAGCAAATGCTTATCATAATTTATCCTGAAAATATGAATCTGTCAGCACGAGCAGATTTTGAGATATGATTTTTTTGATATTTCCACCCCTATTTTGACACCTTCTGACGGCCTATCGAGATATGGTGTTAGGGTGAAAACATAGCAAATGCTTGTCATAATTTATCCTGAAAATATGAATCTGTCAGCACGAGCAGATTTTAAGATATACCTAATTTTTTTTATATCTTCACCCCTATTTTGACACCTTCTGACGGCCTATCGAGATTTGGTGTAAGGGTGGAAAAATAGCAAATGCTTTTGATAATTTATCCTGAAAATATGAACCTGTCAGCACTAGCAGATTTTGAGATATAATTTTTTTGATATGTTCACTTCTATTTTGACACCCTCTGACGGCCTATCGAGAGATGGTGTTGAAGTGAAAAAATAGCAAATGCTTGTCATAATTTATCCTGAAAATATGAATCTGTCAGCATGAGCAGATTTTGAGATATAATTTTTTTGAAAATAGGGGTGAAGCTATTTTGACACCTTCTGACAGCATATGGTGTAAGGGTGAAAAAAGCAAATGCTTGTCCTGAAAATATGAATATCAGTACGAGCAGATTTTAGGTTTTAATATTTTCTTATATTTCCGACGCCACTGGCCGTTCGGCAGTTTCCGGAAGTTTTGGAGGCTATCTTAAGAGGCTAATTTCACACCGGTGAAGATGAGATATAGGAAAGTATATAAAAATTAGTGATATTGTTTATGGAAGAAGTGAATCAACTTATACCTTCTGGTTGAAACACAAGTGAGATTTTTGTGGTATGAGTGCATTTAAAAGAAGTTGTGGGTAGATGTTTGTATTGGTTTGAATCTACCGTCGATGGTTTCCTATCAAAAACAAGTTGAAATCGAGGTTAAAACGTAGTTTTTAACATCTTTAAGAGCATCTCAAAAAAATGAAATAAGATACAAAGGTGACCCAGATATATGATAAAGAAGTTGATGACAGTTTCAGTCAAACCAAACCGAAAGTGATTTTTATGTGTTAAGTCAGAGCTTGGTCAGTAATTTGTTGAACACCCAGTTTAACATTTTTCTCTTGGAAAATTAAGCGTTTCCAAATTCAAAGTAAAATTAAAGTAGTATAATAATCTCTGTTTGCATTCTTTTCAGATATGGCCGTGTCTCCATCTCGTTCCTTACCGCCACTCACCCATCGCCGTTCAACGCACTTCATAACACTGCCTACAGCCCACCAGGCAACCCCACCCAATTCAACCGACTTGCTACAGAACCGACTGCGCCAACTTTTAGTTTGCGATAGTGCCGAGGAGCTACGCGTCGATCAGGTAAAAGACGCTCGCAAACCTGATGTTATTAGACGTAGAGTAAGTTTTTTCTTTTTTATTTAGTTGTTAGCCTATCTTTTAGCATCATTATTGTTTTAAACATGAAACTCATTAACGTGGTCAGCTAATTATCAATTTAATACAGATGGCTCCGCTGAGTCCACCAGCTGAATACTCATCCCAACGTTGCCACAAAAGCCTACCAGATTTGCACTGTAGAGGTAGCGGAGGCAGCGGCGGAGCCGAGCCCAGCTCCAATAAGAGCAGCAATAAGAGTTTGTCCAATCGCGACAGTGGCGGCTCTAGCGGACATTATACTCAACGGAGTGAACCTGCTCCACCACCTAGACAAGTATGGATCTTTAAATCTAGTTTACTTATAACATAAAAAGGAAAAGCTACAGTACATTCTGTTGTTGGCTTGGTAATGATTGCTTTACATTTGAATTTATTGTTATAGTTTTGCTCACAACAAGATACGCGTCGCGACAGTGGCTCCAGTACTCAGCACAGCGGCGGTAGCTCATATTATTGCTGTCAGGAGCCAGATTGTAGGGCCGCACGTCAAACGGGTTATCCACCGCCTCCTGTGTCGACGTTTAAAAGGCAAAAGTGTCTCAGGTACAAGAGGGATAGGCCTATATTAAGATCAAAGGTAGTTTTTACTTAATTTGAGAAATATTTATTCTGATTATAAATTTTGTCTTAGTCGGATATAAGTGACAGATACTGGCGCCCTCCTGAGCTTCCTACAAGTCACTTGGAGCAATTTTTCGAGCATTTAGGTCTGACTTCGGATAGTTATGAGGAAATGTTGAGCGGCAGTCACTCGTCTGATAGTCCAGTGTTTTTTTCCGACGTTTCCACAGTGGACTCGTCCAGGCCTCTGGATAATGTCGATTGCTGTCCTCAACAAACATACAGGCAAGAATTTTAAATCAAGTTTTTTGACACGTTTTCGTAGAGCTAACAGAGTTGATTAGATCATGTACCTATAAAAAATTGTTTAAAATTTTAAGTATGCTAATTCCGACCATTGACCGATTGACCAGTCGGTCATCTTGACAGATAAGCAATGCATTTAACGTCAGTTAAGACCAATTGGTTGGCAAATAACGCTTAACTAATGGTTCATCTGTCAAGATGACCGATTGCTGAAAATTGGCTATGTATGGGCGATGCTTTCTGACTAACAGTTTGCAAACTGTCAGAGACTCTTGTGAGAACAGACCTTATAACAAATCTGAAAGAGATTCCTTATGGACCTCTGAAAAACCTGAGGAATATTCTTCCATTTTTGACAAATCCCTAATTTTGAATTGTAAGAGGAAAGTCTTTAATAAGGGTAAAAATTTTCTGTTACCTTTCATGAAATCTGTAGGAGGAAAAAATTTAAACTATTATAACTTAATAATAAATAAATTCTGCATTAGGGCCCTTTCAATAGTCATGGTACATAATCTAGATGATCTTAATTATCTTGTTAATGATAATCCATTAATCTGTTACAATTGAATTGAAATTAATTTTATTTATAGGAACAGTGAGCCTCCTTCAATCGTAGAACGCAACGCTCGCATAATCAAATGGCTGTGCAACTGTCGAAAATCTCAATTGACATAGAAAGACTCAAAACAATGGCAACAATGCTCACTATCGACCTCAAAATGAATTGATGGTATTACCGAAAAACAGAATTACGAAATAATTATTGGTTGTCTGAAACTGACAACGATTTATTTACAAGGTGATTTCAGGGTAGAGAAAAAAAGATGTTTGTAATCGGTAGCTCAAAATTTACTGTACTGTGTGTGTGTACCCTTAGATGTAGTAGTATAAAATGCTCTATTACCCTTTTTCTCCATAATTCCTTCTTAGATAGGATATTTAATGTTTGAATAAGTGTTTGTTAAGCAGTAGGCAGGTTTGGGTCAGTCGAAAATTTGGACATAAGTTTCATATTTAGTCACTTTTGTGTCCAAAAAGGTTAACTGAATTAAAACCTAAGTGATAATATACATTAAAAACAAGAATTAATTCTCATATAAGGGCAACTAATAATAAGGTTAATAAACTGATATAACCAAAAATACTAAAAAAAAATAATAATAATTTTTCTAACTAGTACCTACATACTAAATTTTGTAAATTTTATTTTCTACTTGATAGAATTAAGGGATGTTTTTTTTTCAAAATTGCAGTTTCAGCGCATTATAATACTTGTTGGATTTATCAAAATTAGAGCCTTGCGCCCATAAAAAACACTGTTTGTCACCTATCATACTGAGTTAGTCTGTGATTGAAATTACTATCAGTGACTCATTACTCACATATGAAGCGGCGCGGGATGTGAGACGTCAAGGGAAATGATGATGTGGATTGATTAAAAACTATTTAATAATAATAGTTGTTACTGGGTGCAGCATTATTTGAGTCACTGCCAGTAGTTTTGATCACAGGCTATGCATAAATTCCATTCTTTATCATAATGATTGAGGTAGAATAATAATATTTTATATTCATAATCTCTGGAATCTTGTCTGTGGTCTTTGGAACAAAATGGGTTAGTATTTCAAATAGAGCGTCCAATAATCTAAATAATTCTCTATGTAAATCCCCCCAAATTTATTCTCAATGTCTCCTCATACTAAATCAAGTCTTATTTGTCTTGCCCAATCCTATTCACAGTACTCTAAGCAGTATTCACCAAACAGTATTTTATCCATTTACCAATCCATTGCTTGTCATGTAAGGCACACCCAATAAAAACCAATTCTATCCATTTTATCTGACTGGGAAAATAAATACCGAAAATCGTCATTGTCTAGAATATCTTGAATACCGTTGACACTTTGGAATTAACTTAAAACTTTCATGAACATATTCCAACACTCTAAAACACGTTCAGATGTTAGAACTTCAATTAGAAGTATCGCTTACAAATATGTGGGAAATTTCTGATAACTACTAAAACATTCCGGCGCTGCTTAAAGAACATTAGAATTTTATTTTAATTTTCTCTCTGCAAAAGGAGTAGGTATGTTTGGGTTAGTTTCTCGTACTTATTATTCTACCTCAATGATCATAATACATGATGTGTATGAGGTCTATAACAAACTTATCTGTTAACTAGTGAAGTTTATCTGTCGATGTCAATTGAAGTAGATGGTTTGCTTCAGGATGAACTTGACTTAGTTTCAGTGATACTAGTCTTGGGTTTTTTGTACTACTGATTTTTAAAAATTAGAGTATTTCTGGTCAATTTTTTTTGTGTTAATATTTATTGTAAATTTTATTAAATCTAAATCGCTGAAGGGCAATTTTCAATTACATTAGTGTAGTTTCTTTTGGTTTTCTATGCTACATTTTGGAGGGCTTGGCAACATGTGATTTTTTTAATTTTTGGCCTTTTTAACCAACATTGCCATTTATATTTTTTATGTTTTGTTCTGAGAAAAAGACACATCTTACTCCCCTAATGTTGTTAAGACCAAAGCTCACTTATTATGCAAAATGTCAATTTTTGCCATTTTTTTTTATCTAGTCTATTATAAGAAAATTTGAATACTGAAAAACTATACATTTTAAAATTAATTATAATATGAGGTTGTTGTAATAATTCATTGTTTATTGATGTTTTTATCAAAATTTAGTTTTTTTTTTTGCCTGTTTTACGATGTTTAGGAAATTGGATGGATCGACACAATAAAAGTCCAGGATCATTTGAGAAACGTCAAAAAGAGGCACTTTTTATCAAAAAGATTTTATCTGAAACCCCTTTTCTGTACGGTAAACTTATATTTGCAATGTTTTTAATTATCCAAACTCAATTAAGACTTTTGTCGTGACATTGCCCATGTTACTTTGGCTATTTTGTGATACAAAGAAACAAACATAGATATTACTAATTCGTTAATTATTGTAATCAACCAAGGACCCTTTCAAAAAGTTCAAAATTGTCGAGGTCCAAACACTAAATTAATTATTACCATTTAGTACAAAAAAAAAATTGTTTCAGTATTCCGAATCATTATCTTTGTTTTGCGATTGAATTATTATTGTTAAAAAATTGTTAAACTTTATAAAAATGCAAAACAGAATTGCGACAAATTCAATTAATTATCATAATCATCAAACTGTATTGATATTATTTTCTTTTGTTCGACTATTTATTTCTCGTATACTAGTATTAATAATATAAATAATAAAATATAGTGTATGTGAAGTGTGATAATACGACATATAATATTAGAATGCTCTTTTTCAGTACCCGCCTAGGATATTATTAAATTAGATATAAACCATATTTTTCTTTTGTGTGTGTTTGTCATGTGTTTTATGTTTTGGTTTATATCTTGTTATTCGCATTAACTAATAATTTTTCATAACTTTTTTTCTATTCCTACTAATCAATTAAATATATACTGTACAATCAAAAAAATAAAGGCGATTCTGTGTAAAATATAATATAGGTTATTCCAGACAAAATACTTCATTATGAAACAAATTATCTGAGCCCCTGATATCTAGTTGATTTGAATGAACTAATTTTCTATGGAGCAGCCTATATGTATTTTGTATGAACAACTTTTTTCATCATTAATTGAAAGCTCAGTTTAATTAGATGTTTTGCTCATTTGAAGAATAATAATAGGTGAATCGAATTTGCTATTAAGTCTGACATTTTATTTATTAGGGCTCAATTCAGAAAATTTTTAATAAGCATTATAAAGACTAACATGCTGTATAATATTAATTATTATTCCATTTTCCATCAAAATCAGAATGCAATATGGAAATACTTCAAGCATTTATTACTATAACTTTTTTGTTTTGTTTTTTGTTGATTTATTATGGTGCTATGCACTTTCTTGTCTAGTCTTTAGTCTATATTTGAAAATCTTATATTCTTTTTTTTAAAGGGTACTTACTTATAGTAGAAATTAAGGAAACTCGAGTATGTTATTGATAATTAATAATTAAAATAATTATTCGGAAGATTTGAATGTTTTATTTAATATCAAAGTTGCTAGCACATCCAAAGCTGTAGAGTACAATTCTAGTTAGTGACTACCTAGATGCGTCATGATTCAATTCAGATCATAGTTAGTTCTATGCGCAGGTTGGAAAAGGAGCTGCCTTTGTCTGGTTCTTCCACCAACCAGAAATCCAATTTCTGTCGAAAGTTCAGGCGAGTTGATAGAGTTCTGCAGAATTTTGTAGAGAAAAATGAGCTAGACATGTTTGCGTAGATTCTCATGACTGCGTATGCCGCACAGCTGTAGCTGACTCTCATACTCAAGGTTCTGGTAAGGAAATCTCAGTTTGTAGAGCAGGTATTTGGCAAATTTATTTTGCACTCCTTCTATCCATCTAATGTGGCATAGATACGTAACTTGGAGTCCAAATTGAGCTGCAGTATTCAAGTATGGATCGTATGCGATTTTATATAGACAGGTAATGGATGTATTATATGTATGTCTATAAGTCTGGTGTTTCGTTTGATGAAACCTAGAAGTCTAGAACCTTTAATGACTATGTTCATCTCGATATGCTTGTTGAAAGACAGGTCTTTTTTCAAAGGTCTCTGAAGGTGTCGACTGTTTCCAGATTGGCGTTGTTGATGGTATATTTGTGCAGTTTATAGGATTTATGGTCTTGTGAAAAATCATGCGTTTGTACTTAGTAACATTGAGTTTGAGAAGATTTGAGTTGCACTAAGCCACTAACATGTCCAAATCCGAGTGGAGGAGCAGAGGGATGATTGGAAGCATTGGATGACGTCATTTATGAAAAGAACAAGCAGAATCGGTCCGATGTGGGATCCAAATGGAACTATGAACTCATGTATGATACTGCACCACACACACCAACTCTTTAACATCTTTCCGTGAGGTACGATTCTATAAATTTTAAGAAACGTGCACCAAAGCCCATATCTGAGAGTTTTTTTAGTAACAACTTATGGCTCACACTATCAAAGGCCTTTGAATTTTCCGTAAAAATCACGTCCACCTTTTTTCCTGATTTCAAAACTATCGTTAGAAACTTGGCAGACAGCAAGATTTGTAGCAATGGATTTTCCCTTGCAGAAACCATGTTGTGCGTTGGCAATGTAGTTACTAAAGCACGAATACACATCGTCTGTTAGAATGGATTCCATAATTTTAGGAATGTGCGATAGAGATAATACATCTATAATAAATAAATAATTAAATAAATAGTTCTTGATTCCCAACAGAAATTTAATAATCCCAGTTACAGAAAAAAAGTACGAAAAAAAATAATTAACCAGCAACTAAATTTATAAAGTGAAAGAATAGTTTGTAGCAAAATGCCCCAAGTACTCTATGTAATTAGTTAGATGGTAAATGGCGAGCGGTATATTGATGGTGTGTTTATACTTGGAGTTGCTATCTAATCTGTGGAAGGATCTATTTGCAAGAGAGAGAAACAAACTAATGAGGTGTACTAAATTATATTTTATTATACATAAAACCCAAAAATCAGCCAAATCTCTTCCAATCCTTTACATCCTTATTTATTTCTATAAAATCAATTACTTCACATCCGTTCTAGATTGTTATTTTTACGGACCACTGAAATATCCCTACTAGGAACGCCCTATTCATAATATTTCTCATAACTTATAAATTAACTCTGTGAGACCCCAGGTTCAGAAACTTTTTATGATGTTAAGTTGGCGAGCGGTGACTTAAGTTTCTGAGAGGAGACACAATTTGATGTGCGGGTCCTATTTGCGGGTGTGAGAGTAAAATACAGAAATATGGTGGTCAATTGAAATAATGTTTATATATATAAAAAAAAAAAAATTGTTAAACAAAGGCGTCGGTTATAAATCTTACAATAAATTCTTCTCTAAATACCTAACCGTTTATTTTGTCAAAATTTCTCTACAAATTATTTAAGCAAAGTTTTTCCCCAAAATATATCTACAAAATGATTAAATTTCCCTAGTATGCAACAAAATTCTGAAGTTTAAAGCGGCGTTTCCACAAGCATAGTTTATTGGCACCAGTGCACGTGCCAGTTTGCTGGCGTAATAATAGTGGCGCCAGGATCTGTTTCCACTTGATATCAAAAACTTTTGACTGGCGCAGTAGAAAACTAAAGAGGTTCAAGCAGGTTTTAATGTTGTTGTAGAAATTTTATTGCTTAAATTGCAGAAGATACGAAAAAACAAGAAGAAGGGACGTAAACACAAGATCTGCTACGAAAATGGATTTCACGCAGAAAAGCTCTAGGAGCATCAAATACAAATAATTTACTGTCTGAGTTAGCGGATGAAGACCACGAAGCATTTCCAAAGCTTCTTATTTTGCTTTTAGCAGCAGTGATATCAAAACCACCTAAAAACACGAGAACTCGCACAATACGTCAACACTTATCCTTATAACATCATCCCATTCATCCCGTTTATTCCTGTCTTTGTAATACAAAAGTTTGTGATTCCACAAACAGGGATGCTCTTCCATAAACTTTATATGTTCAATTTTTTAGATTTACTTGACATTTTCATTATTTTTTGTGAAAACGACTATACAGTGAGGGGCAGGCTACTAGGTATATAGGATATAACTTGACGAATTTGCAGGCGTCCGCATGTGGCAAAATGACGAATATATTTAGTGCTAAAGGGTCATTTACATCCACTTAACTTAACTTGACGTACGGAAAATTAATAATAAAAAAAAAGTTGAAGATCACATAGTTGTTACATCAACTTAAAAATTAAGAAAATTAACGTGACACACGGAAAAGTTGAACCAACTTAAGAAAATCCGCGCAATAAATAATAATTTCCATTTCTGTGCATATAATTTGACTTGACAGTTCAGGTTATAAGTGCGCATACGTCATGTAAGATAATTTACTTCATTGTTAACAGAGACCTTCTCAGTTTCGTACGTTAGTTATAATTTTCCGTACCTTAAGTTAGGTTAAGTGGATGTGAATGACCCTTAACTCATGACAACCATCAGGTAAAAACAAAACGTGAAAAGACCTGTCACTCAAAAAACTAAGGCTAAAGACACAATGGCTAAGATACGTTTTCGGATACGAGACTAGGCCCGTAACTATGCGGACTACGAAACCACCGTATCTATTCTGCGCGTGCGCAGATCGATGCGGAGACGGATACATATAAAAATTCAGGATAAGCAAGTACACACTTTAAGCAGGTCCTGAATTTCAAAAGTATCTAACGCAGGATAGATAGTAAATACGGTGGTCTCGTTGCGTTGCGTTGTCCGTATCGTTACGGGCCTAGACTCGTATCTGTATCCGAAAACGTATCTCAATCATTTGACACTATTGAGGGATCTAAAGTGCGTTTTTTTTTTAAAGATAAAAGTCAAAATGACATTATGTTGGCAATACAATGTAAAATTGTCAATGCTTTCAAATTTTTCATGTAGAAAAGGCTTGTGTTGCCAACATAGTTACTAAATTTTTGACTTGGGGAATTATCTTTAAAAAAAAACACAGTTTACCTGTCAGTTATTACTAAAATAACTTCAACAACATAAATTATAGATAAAAATAAAACCTACAAACACAGCTACAAAATCAAAACAAAACTTTTTGTGGTTAGAAAACGTGTCATCCAAGGATACGATCGTTTACGTAATGTATGACCATGAAAGGACTTTTAGGCGGTCAACGTAAGTCGATGCGTTTACAGAAGCGGATACGGATACGTAGGAAAATTTAGGGTTTGCTTAAAGTGTCTAGTGTCTACATTGATAACCAACGCTTAGCTATCTACACGCGTAAACTTAATTATAAATAAATAAAGCTTGACGAAATATCTGAAAGCATGGCGCAGACGCTACGTTTTGCACAACGTTTTGTCTGCTTACAGTTAAACACGTTGCAGACAAAACGTTTTGATCAGTAAGCTGAACCGTAGCGTCTGGACCGTGCTTAAGTCTATCGTACTGAAGTAAACAAACGTCAAAGTTGTTGAACGAACGACAGTGACAGGGGTTCAAACTGCTGCGGACGGTGGTAAATTCGTCAAGTTGGATCCTATATACCTAGTAGCCTGCCCCTTACTGTATAGTGAAAACCTTTGTATTTTTTGGACAAACTGTCACACATGGCAAACTGGCGCCAAAAAGTAGACCTCCATTCTACTTTACTGGCGCATTTATAAGTGGCGCCAGTTAACTGGTGCCAGTTAATTTTCTGCGTTTCCACATGCCAGAAAAGTTACGCTAGTCGACTAGCGCCAATAAACTATGCATGTGGAAACGCCGCTTAATTCACAGTTTGACTAGACCTTGCACTCTTGCCAAATTTACAACCCTATACAATTTCTAGACAATACAATCCTAGCCTGACATAAAACTAATAAGATTACTTACAGATTGATTTGAGTTATACCTACTGATGGCACAAACTTAATTACCGGGGTTTCTATAGGTCGATGGAATTTACTTTACTCATGAACATAAAAAAAAACTGGAATATTTTCGCGCTGCCTCGTTATAGTCTTATTTCGCGGCGACTTTCTTCTCTCGTTCACTACCGTAGTTCGACGTAATTTCTCGCTTTGTTGTCTTCTAATGTCACTGGATGCTCGACTCGTGAATTAAACTCTTTCTTGTTTAAAGCTTGACCGTACACTGGACTTTCTGTATATCGTCTACTTGACTCTCTACCGAACACTACTCTTCTCCTGAAAAAGTCGCTTTTTATATCGTTGATCTCCCATTGTCTTGAAGCTCTTTGTTTTTTCTGGCCTCGATGTAACGTGGTTGAATCATCCGATCAATTAGTGT